TGTGTGTGTGTGTGTGTATGTGTGTGTTGCACCTCAACTCCTATGTTCAAATGTTTATGTTGCAGGATCGATAATCACGTTCGTATTTTAGTCTTTAGAGGACAATAATATTAACAATTATTATGTGAAGTCGACTAGCCTATAAGCCTATAAGCCTATTATTGCACTCACTCTTCTCAATATCAGTTATTAATTATTTTGAAAGGAGAAAACATAATTATTCACTGCCGACGAATAGGATGCTTGCCATTATTTGCATCCGGTTTCAAAATCAAATATGGCTGACTCGGAGAACGAAGCTGTAAGTAAGATGAAGAACTAGAATTGTCTGAAATAAGGTTGATGCACGAATTTTGAACGAACCCTAACACTTATAACAAACACAACTGTGAAAAAACTTTCTGAATTATCTTGTAAAAGTATGCAGTTATCTAAATTTCTTTTAGAAAACAGTTGGTCACCAGTTTAGTCTTCGGACCACTCGGTCTCGAGACTCACGACTCGCCACAGCCAGTGCCACAGCCACAGTAGATCTAGATCTAGAATCTAGATATTAGATCTATATCTAGATCTAGATTAGATACTCTAGATCTAGATATAGATCTAATATCTAGATATATCTAGATATTAGATCTATATCTAGACTACATCTAGATCTAGATCTAGAATCTAGATCTAGACCTAGACTAGATCTAGATCTAGATCTTTAGAACTAATGAGGGCAAAATAATCTAAATTTGTTGAAACCAAAACAGATCTAAGAGAACCTTATGTCATGCCATGCCGTAAGTTACTCGTAAGGCAAGGCTTAACAAAACCAATTATTTTCAAACAAAACAAATCATAGCGTGGCTTCTGATCCCCATAGTTTGATACATTCGTAATTATTTCATGTCTGTTTACTAGTACACTAGGTAGAGTAGATCTAGAAATTAGTTAATTCACTGCACGGTCGGATGGCACTTTTAATTTTTAATTTTTAATTCATCGGACCAGCAAGTTCGCAAGCAAGGCAAAATGGCAAAAAAGCACTTCTTATTCTTACCGTTTCTTTTCTGTGTCGGCTCCACGATAAGGCTGATGTTGTCGCTGACAAGTGAGACGTCGAGCTATATTCTTGTTTCAAAATTCCTGTGGCACATTCATAAATTCTAAGAGTACCATCTGGACTTGAATAAGCAAGATATTGTCCGTCTTCAGAGAACGAAGATATCTGTGTCGTCGCCATTTTCTACATTTTCTTTCAGCATTCAGCACGTGTGGAGTTTACTTGCACCATTTACGTGTACAAACCATGTGAGAGCTCTAACTAGTCTTCGTGCATTCAAATATTCGTCGAAATAATTTACGGAAGAAAAAGCGGTGGGGGATGTTTTAGTAGCCATAATATTATGGTACCTGAGTTGCTTTATTTAGTGTTTCTATATTTTCAGCATATTCTATTTAGCTCTGCTTTATACAATTGAGGAGTGTGATATTAATTTCCGAACTTCCCAGAAATATCAAGTCGAAACATAAAGGTTAATAAAAATAACATTAATTTTCGTCTTGTTGCGTGTCCCGGCTTCGCTTCCGCTGCCCGCGGCACGCAAATGCAAACCGGATAATGATATATAG